GCTGTTTTTGTTTGTATATGTAAAACCGCAGAAGATCATGGCCGACGACACTATTTTCAAAGTGGAGGGGCCATAATGGTCATTTTTTAAAGTAATCCTCTATATTTAAAATTTTCTTAAAGAATAAAATGAAATTTCTTTAGATATAAATGGATGCCGCAAAACTTGAGGGGCTGTAGCAGAATTCCACAAAATTGATGATATTATTTTACGTTTAGAATAATTATCTAAAATAAAAATTTGATTTTGATTTTTTTTTTAATACTTTCATCCGCCTTTTTTATGTACAAACTTTTATTAAAAAACTCTGCTACGGTCCCTGTGCGTTTGAATCAGAAAGATAATCTGAAATTTTTAGGCTCATTCGATGTATGTCTTAGGAGTTATAAAGTTTTAAAACTGTGTTTATATTTTACTTATTTTTTGCTGACTCAGCAAAAAAAAATTGTAATTTTTTGGAGTGTATTTGTTGATTAAAACGATTATTCTTTTCATTTAAAGTTACTCGGAAACATTTATCTTTAAAATGCAAAAGTTTTTTCCTTTTAACTTTAAAGCCGTCATGCATCTTGCAAGCCAACACTGTAATCCAATTATAAAAAATATTGTTTTTTCGGACATAACTCTATCTAAGGTAAACAGTTCAACATTTACAACAGTTTTTCATAAAATACCTTTATTGAATTTTACACCAATTTCAGATGCTTCACTTTATTTTCATTTAAAACAAGTCTTATAAAATGTATAATTGATAGTACTTTTAAAATTACCAAAACTATCCTTGGTCTTTGTTACGACATTAACATTCTTTAATTTCAAACAGAAAATATTTTTTTAACTGAAATAATTACTTTGAAATTGCATCTTTTTGAAATTTAACTTTCATCATTCTTGTTTTAGTTTTAATAAGTAGTTATTGGCGCTATGGTATATCATTGTGTAAATAAAATGTAAAACAGAAAAAATTAGATGTAATTTTGCATCAACTTTTCAGTTTTTTCCCTTAATTATAAAAAATCTCTTTTTCAACGTGAAATTTGAATCACGTTTGTTAATTGTCTAAAGGCGCTCCTGGAACAAATGATTTTTTTGTCCAAAAAAAGATTTACGGTTTTTCATTTTAAAGCCTAATTAAAAAATTCTTTTCCCAAAAAAAAACTAGATAAGATTCTAAAATTAAAGTTGCTCTTTTTTGCCTCTAAATAGTAATAGTGCAATAAATACTGACTCTACACAGCCATTACTTAAAAAATACAAACTAAACGTAATCTCCACTTCATACTGTAAAACTATATTTTGTTGATCAATATAGGGACACTTATTCTATTAAACAGCCTTGTTCTAGCTCCTCATTACTTAGTGTCAACTTCAATACAAAAAAACATAGAGTTTTTGATTGAATCAATACAAGTAGTAGTAGTAGTAGTAGTAGTAGTAGTAGTAGTAGTAGTAGTAGTAGTAGTAGTAGTAGTAGTAGTAGTAGTAGTAGTAGTAGTAGTAGTAGTAGTAGTAGTAGTAGTAGTAGTAGTAGTAGTAGTAGTAGTAGTAGTAGTAGTAGTAGTAGTAGTAGTAGTAGTAGGAGTAGGAGTAGTTGAAAATGAAAATTATGCTAATCCACTTTCTAATCTTAATGAGTACACTCAAGCTTAACAGTTACTAACAACTGAAAGCTAGTGTAACTTTTACACAAACATTCGTTCCGTGAAAGTTTTTAACATGAACTTATAAAACCAATTGTACATCATTGATAAAACTCAAAACTGAAATAAGATGGTCTCCTAAAAATCCAGAAAAAAAAGACGCTAATAAAACTTAGTAGGTAGAGAAAATAATGTTCACAAGATGGATTTTTACATATTTTTTTAATATTGCGCCTTGGAATGTAAAAAAATGAGATAGTTGGGAGATTAAATGTTTCTTTTGGTAGTGTTTTAATAATGTTTAAATCTTAGATAAGAGGCATGTCATAATATTATAAATCTGTTGTTAACTTTCCAGATATAGAAAAGGTTTGTTCGAACCGTCCTTACTGTTTTATAGATAATCCAAGTCTGATAGGAAAATTTGACTGCACTGAAATTCTCATAGAAACACCAATAGGTTTAGAACTGCAAATTACAACTTGGTCTAAATACAAGCACTACAATGCAATAAAGTTCCTTGTATCAGTTACCACTAGTTCTTTCATAAATTTTGTTTCAGAGGAATATACCGGAAAAATGTCAAGGAAAGCAATAACATTGGATTTTGGCTAGCTTACTAAATTCTCTTTTCATTCGTCAATTATGGATGATAAATTTTTTAATATTGCTAAAGTGTCAACCACCTGTCAAACAAAGAACTTTTCAAATAATATCTGAAGAAGTAAGAAAAACAAGCAATATTGCTAAACTTAGAATCGTCATTAAACAGATAATTAGAAGAATAAAAACCTTTAACATAATTGGATAAGAATTTCCTAAATTCACTACTTGGAAGTTTTAATGAAATCATCGTTATTTGTACAGCGTTTCCGAATTTTAAACGCTTTATCATAAAATAATACTATTTATGATAAAAAAAATTATTTATTCGTTGCTTTAAAGTTTATGTGTGTGTGTTTATATATATATATATATATATATATATATATATATATATATATATATATATATATATATATATATATATATATATATATATATATATATATATATATATATATATATATATATATATATATATATATATATATATATATATATATATATATATATATATATATTTATATTGTTTTTTAGGTTGATGGAACCAAAAACACGGTTTTTTATTTGACCAATAAAAAAAAGACATCGATGCGTTGATGCAGAAAAGAATAATTTATAACTTCTTTAAAGTTAGTTTACTATTTTTTATTATTTAGGTCCTTTTAGTAGTTCTAACTGTCTTATCACAGTGCACTGAGGGATAACATTTAACCCGGTAGTTCAAACCTTATACGAAATAGAATTTTAATAATGTATCAATGTTATCTTAATGTATTTTTATCATTATGATACGTAGTAACATTGTTTATATGTATATTATTTTCATAATAAATGTATATTTAAATGGTATACCTGGAGAAGAAAAACAAATAAATTAAAAAAAAAAATCATTGGTCTGGGTTATCAAGTCACGATACCGCAAATTTTGTCATTTTAACTTTGTTATTCTTTTCATAACTCACAGACCTGATCATTCAACGGAAATATGTTGTGGTCAACAAAATATCATACAAACGTTATAATATTATAAAATTGCCATATCTACTCCGAGCAGTTCTTTTAATATATTTGACATGTTTGTTAAAATAAGTTTCAATAATTTTTTTGTGCTTTTATGTGCATTGGGTAGAATCACTGATTTTATCTGAAATCATAGAAATTTTTTTATTTTCTTTCTTTACGCGCGATGGCGTGTTTAAAAAGAAATTTTTTAAATATAATTTTATTTTATTTATTTTAGAGCGCTTCTTATATGTAAATAAAAGCGTGTCTTTTTTTAAAAGTTAATTTTTTTGAGCAGAAGTAGCGCAGTGGTTACAGTTCTAGCTCAGAACCCAGAGGTCCGAGGTTCAACGCCAGCTTTAGCCCAACAAGCGACATTGGTACGGAAGAAAGCGTAAAGTTCCTGGTAAACGCTCTCACGCGGTGCTCAGTGATAGTACTGTAAGGACTTCTGGGAGCACCTGAACAAATTCAAAAAAAATAAAAAAAATAAATGAAGTAGTTTTTTCTTTTTACTTTTTAGTCTCAAAACTTTTAATTTGAACTTTTTACCACTTCTACTGTTTTAAATTATCTGATACTTTCTATACATCGCGAGGTTAGAATTATTTTGTTTTATCTTCACATTTTTTTTTTCGAGATAAAACGATTTAAAAAATAAAAACTTTAGGAGACGGCTTATAAAAAGATTTTTATTACTTGTGTTTTTTCCGAAATTTTTTTGATTTTAACTTTTTTTTATGTTTTTTCCGAAATTTTTTTGGTTTTAATATAGTAGAAAAACATTATTTTGAGGTACATTACACAATTAATAACTCATTTTTTTCAAAAAGTGGAGATAGAACAAAATAATTCTAACCTCGCGACATGATTAGTTCCCATGAGAATAGAACCCTTAATCATTTTTAGATCCTAAAAGTGTTTAATTAATGTACAAATAAGATGAACTTTTTGTAAGCAAATATTCAAAACATATTTTGCAATAACACCTGTTCAATATACATGTGGTAAAAATGACTTTATAATAACTTGATACTTAAAATTATTTTTTACTCGTTAAATAAAATCATGTAAATTTTTTTTTAAGTATTTTATTTTAGCTTTTAAGTTAAATCATTAAAAATTAAATTACGCACGAACAAAAACGAATATAACGTAACATTATAAGATAAAGTTTTAAGTTGTTATGTTATATAACATAAAAACAATCATTTGACTTTGAAAAAAGTTTACATACAAAAATTTAATCCTAGTTTCACATTATTTAAACACTTTTAGTATCTGAAAACTGCTTAAAGGCTGTATTGTATTTCAGACTATGTTTTAGATAGTATCAGAATAACTGGAAGAGTAAATGTGTTCTAAAAAGCAATTTAAGATTTGACGAAAACAGCATACAAGTAGTGTGAATTTAAAAAAGCGTGAAAAAAAAAAAGGATTTTTTTTTCACAATGACCACAAAGCATATTTTAAATATTTGCGAGTTTCTTATTTATTTTCGTATCAAAAATATATAAAAACATGTGGTCAAAATGAATGCTTATGCTCAATGAAGAGTAAATAATTTTTATTATTACTTTGATATTAATGTTATAAGAAAGGTTCATAATATTTTTTCTTGAAATAGTTATACAAGTAACCTAGATGCTAGCAGAATTTAAAAAAAAAAAATTTAATCAAATTATTTATTTTTATAAAAGTAATTTTAAACCACATTTAAAAAAAAAAAAAAAAAAAAAAAAAAATTCATACCAAATATATAATGATATAGATTTTTATTTTGTTGGTTGTTTTATAATAGATTTTCATTTGTTGAAAATATCAAGAAGAATCAAACTTGAAATTAATATTATTTCTTATGCTAATATATCAGTATAGCTACAAGCATTTCAGTGTAAGATATTTAAATGAAAACAAAAATTTTATTTCAATGAATATGAAAGATGAATAAAAACTATTTTACGTAAATGATTTAATTTTTCATTAATCAGAGTAACAAATATATATGTTTAAATATATCGAAAAAATAAATTATTAACTACAAGAAAGAAAATACAGTGCGGTCATATAAACTTAGTATTTTTAAATTTAAATGTTCAGATAATTTTTATAAATGATTTTATTTAAGCTTAAGTAACTGATAATGGTGGTAAAAGGTGGAGCTTTTAAGATTTGATCACCTGATGTGGTAGTGAAAAAAGCCAATTCTTTTTTTATTTTTAACCGCCATTTCTTTCCTTTTTTTATAAGTCTTTAATTTTACTTAAACATTTTTTTTTTTGAACCGCTTTTTCTTTATTATTTTATTGTCTTTAATTTAGTCTTCAATTTTACTGAATATTTAAAGTTTTGAGAAAACTAATTGTTTATATTAGCTAAATTGCGTGGTAAACTATGGCTGTATTACATTAAAATTTCACTATTTATTTGGGTTAACATAAAAAGTTATAAATAAATATTTAATGGTTTATGTTTTCGACCACAATCAGCACACATTTTTCATCCACAACCTTTAAATGTTTACTGCAAATAGATAGTTGCAACAAAACTATTTGATTTATTAAAATCATATCTTAGAGAGTAAAGTGAGGGAAAAGAAAAAGAAAAAAAAAAGTAAGTGGTTTAACAATTTTTTTTTCTTTTGCATTTATTGAAACTAAACAAAAAATCTTGAAAAATGAGCGGAATCGTAAGTATAAGTATTTGTTGATTAAGCCAATCCCCCTACCTTTGAAAACCGCGTTGTCGGCCCTGTAAATTTAGAAATGCAAAATTCTAAAAAGTTGTAGGTTATTTTTAAATAGTTATTTTCTACATTTATTGCATTGTATAGAAGTGTACATTATTGCCTATGTTTAATACATGAGTACAAAAGTGTTCTTTGCATACAATATACATAATGCATATATTCTGTATTAACGTACTCTTTTGAATGTACTCTGGAAAGAATACAATACATCACATTCTAAAGTATTTTTGTATTCAAACATCTGTTTTTATTAGTTCATACTTTTAATCGATCAAACTCAAAGAAATTATTTATGTACAGTGCATTCACGTACCTCATACATGACTACGCAGTACAAAAGTACGATTGGTCGATTTCCAGTTTTGTTATTTACTAGAATTTATTTAATATTAACAGAAAGAATCAGTGCTTTTAATATTACTTGGTTCAATTTGGATAAAAAAGTGCCTACTATTAGAGATATCCTGAGGAAGGGTTTTTTAATGCAAGAATATTTGCTTGTTAAAAAAGATATTGACAAGTATGTAATGAAAAGTCACATTTAAATATTGAAGAAATATTACTTATATTCCCTAAGTCAAACCTTTTTATTACTTGTTTTATTTTTAAGAAGACTGATTTTTGTAAAAGATTTACTGTACAATTAGCAGAATTGGTTCTTCAACAGTGGACATAATTGAATGATTTTTTCATTTTTCCTGCGGTATTATATAATATATCTTTGGTACAGAAAATAAAACTAGCCTGGAATAATTTTAGTGATATTTCTAGAGGTAAAGCAGCTCGAAAACTTGTTTCTACATGGAAAATAAAATTAGATCAATTGCTAGAAAAAAAGATTCCAAAAAGTGAACTTATTTGGTTAAAAGCTGAATGAGAAAAAACTGGGTCACTATCAAAGTATCAAATGACTTGTAAAGATACTAAGGAAAAGCTAAACAAGTTTCTTTAGAATAGAGGAAGCTGAAAAGAAAGTCAAGTCTAGAAAAAAAAATCTGAAAAAAAGAAGGAAGAAACTTCATATAAGAAAGATCTTGTTAAGTCTTTCAAGTGATGATAATTCAAATAGAATAGAAATGGAAAATAAACCTGCTTCAACTGATAACTGAAAGCTAAGTTTTATGTCTATTAGTAATACTGCTGAAGCTTATTTTAAATTCAATGCTTCACCAGCTGCAACATCAGCAGTAGTTTTAGCGTTTTTTTCAAGACTATATTCTCGGTAATATTTTAACACCTGAAATGTCTTATATGGCTGTAGATCCTAAGAAAGTTGATAGAACTAGGAAAGCAGTAATGACAAAAGCAAAGACGAAATGAAGAAATAAAGATTCAAGTACAACCTATCAAAGGTATATTTGCTGATGGCAGAACAGATTTTACAAGAATTTTAAAGTACAACCTTGTAACGAACATTTTCATCAAAGGTGAAAGAAGAACACATTAGTGACACTTCTGAACCTGACAGTCGCTTTATAACACATTTTATACCCATGAAGGTAATGCCTCCCAATAATCCACATTATTGTCACTCTGGATGGATTCACTAATTCAAAGGTTAATTTCACTTGACCCGTGAATAGTCTGGAAAGACTTGATACATTTGAAGCAAATGTGTAGTTTGAACCATTAATACAGATCCCTATAAAAGGTGAATGTCAAGAGATTCATCTCTTATGCTATAAACTGATTACATGTTTGACGTCAGGCAAGATGGACCCAAGGTTTGCCATCAAAAAGGTACAGAAAGGTTTGGAGTAAGAAGATACTTGATTCAGGTCAGGGAAGAAGGTCCAACTCAATCTGGGAGCTATATCCATACAAGAACTGATCCACTCGGACAAATAAATAAATAACCTGTATTTACTTGTCAAATATCTACAAAATATCTTGACAATTTCTTAGAGACACCTTTTAAAGCAACTCACTTTACCTTACACACATAATCTTGTGAAAGAGCGGTAAAAAAGGTGACAGATGCATCTGCTTCGTTTTGTGAATTTGAGAGACGAGCTGGATTTGTTAGGGCAAGGACGGCTCATAGACTTTTAATGTCTAAACTGCACTCTGTAAAAGAGTTAAAAAACAGTTTTTATAAAGACACTTGAATTTGATTATTTAAACTGTAAATATATGTTTAAACATGAATATGTAACTTTGCGAAACCAATTTTTTATCTTAAATAAAACCTTTTATCTGGTAGGTAGAAATGTTTTTTTCCAAATTTTTTATTAATACTAAGTTTTAAAAAAAAAGTCAATCTGACATATAGAAATTTTACGAGTTTCAGATGACAAAAATCCAGTTCCCCGGTAGAAATTTTTTTTTTAATTTTCATTCATTTTGTATATTGGTACTATAATATTGATGCTAGAAGTTTCTTTACACATTTTTGTTTTAAGTGACGTGCTCTCTCTCTATATATGTATATATATATATATATATATATATATATATATATATATATATATATATATATATATATATATATATATATATATATATATATATATATATATATATATATATATATATATATATATATATATATATGTATATATATATATATATATATATATATATATATATATATATATATATATATATATATATATATATATATATATATATATATACTGAGTATCATCAAAAAAAAAATTATAGTGTGCATGTGTAGTTATTTCAAATCTTTTTCCTAGGCAATGAATGTATTTTTCGGAAATATTGTTAAATGCAGGTGCTGTTTTAAAATCAACAAATTCAGTATGAAAACATCAATATTATTATCTTTTATCTTAAAATTATTTTTTGACAGCACAGGGTCTTTTAAAAACTTTTCATTTTTAAAGGATTGTTTATGATTGGCAAATTATTTTTCCATTCACCCGCTTTTGAGCAAATTCTTAGAGAAAACTACGCATTTATATACCACAATTTTTGATTAACAACTGGCACTCATTGGGTATTGTTTTTTTGTTTACAATTATAATTTTTGTAGTTTATCATTTAGGATTTCTTTTTTGCATAGCAAAGCATTATTGTGACCTTTTATAATTCTTTCATATTTTTTGTACAATTGTAGATAAATTGTATTTTTGATTAAAATTTTATCTAATTTATTAGAAGTCGGGAAACGCTTATAGACCAATTTTAAAAACACTTTTCCTATGTTAGAGGAAACATTGCTATTTGAAGGAAGGGGGAGGGGATGAGGGTTGAATCCATATTACATTTTATTTCGCTTTTGTTCAGGTTCAAAATTTAGTTCAAAAGTCCAACTATTTAAGGGCATCTTCAATTATTTGTGTAGAGGAAATTAATACATTTTCATTAGAAGAGTTAGAAAGCAAAAAATGCATACTATGCCTACAAGAAAAATTTGAAATAAGTACACATACAAACCAAGACTGTTGATTAAACAAAAAAAATGAAATTGATTTCTAAATGCACGCACGAAATTAAGTTTCTCCAAAAATTCTAAAAATAAGTTAGCTCAAACATTAGTTATATCAAATCCACTCATTAAAAAATTATATTTAAAAAAGCAGAAGTAATCAACTTTAAAGAATTCTTTTTACAATAGTATTAGCATATTCCACAAATGTGTGAATGTTTTCAGTAGTTAAAACTTTTGCGACTTTCCGTAATTTAATTTTGGGTATAAATTGAAGTTTTCCTAATTTGATAATTCATTTCTGGTGAGTCTTTATTAATTGAACACAGTGTTAATAGCAAAACATTTTTGAAAAATGATTTTTTACTAATTTCTAATTGCTCTGATCATTCAACATTTAGCTCTCTGTTTTGTAGAACACAATTTATGATTGTTTAAATATATATTAGGCTCCTTTTTAACATTTGTTGAGCACTCTTAATTGTATTTTAACATTCCGTGTAAATATGAAGAATAATAGTTTCACTTACTCGTTGAAAAATAAACATATACTAGATGAAAATAGTTATAATGTTTCTTTGATTAAAATAGTTTAGTATTATATTAAATGAATTCGTTAAAAAGCTCATTTTTTCTTAAAACTAAAATTAAACACAGATGACCTATTTAATGATAACCAAGATAGTAATAATTATGGATTCAAAAAAAAAAACTCCGCTTTTTATACCTTTTTTGAAATA